TCTGGTAGTGAATAAAATACAAAGTGAGCACTTTCAGCAACAGCAACTGTGCACTAAAGGTAACCAAATAAAACCTCAGGAAATAAAGTGCAGCGCTATAAATAGGTATATATAAAAAATATTGCAGTCCATATAAATAAATGAAGTGACAATCCATGTGTAGAGTGCCCACTATGTCAATACTTCAGTGCTTGTGCTTTTAAAAGCGGGGTAAGAATACGCACTCACCAGATGCGTAAAGATAATATGCATATAAATCAATCATCAGAGCTCCTCTTTAAGGTAGCAGATTAAGCCTGGTACAGAAATATCCTCCCTCTGGATAGGTGGTACGTCTAGGCACTTTTGGGTGGTATGAGGATCCAGTAAACCAGAGGTCCCCTTTAAGGGATGAGTGGGTGTAGCAACCTGTGTAGCAGGAACTCCCTTCTCAGTGTAATGTGGTGGATCTTGATTTTAGGAGATTAATGACTCCACTGCACATTTAGAGCCCATGTGCATTCAAGTCCAACAGTGGCATTCCCCAGTGGATGGATTCTTCGGGGAAAGCTCAGGGTTGGATTGCTCTCACATCTTTCGGTGTGGCAGGCGCAGCACTTGTAGTGCCTTGTGCGCTGTGGCATCAGAAAAATTATGCAATTGATGTTTCTTTGTTTAATTAGACTGACTTTACTCTGTAATTCCTCCAATGCCGCTCTATGAATGCAGTAGGTTTAAAGAGCACACCGAATACTTTAGTTAACTTCTTTAATAACTTCAAACTTCTTCATATAACACTGCTTACAATGGCTTGTTTCTTTCATATTACAATGGTTTAATTCGTATTACATTGGGTTGATTCGATAGCTTGATAAATTCGTTAGATTCGGTAAATTCGTTTGATTATGATTACTCTACAGTGACTTGATTCGTAAGTTCGTAAATTCGATATGTTCGGTGGAACTACAAGTAAACACACACAACAGTTTTTACACACAGATCTACCTGCACTGCCAAACCATAGAGGAACACACAAGTGCATTAAATACCTATTTGGCCTTCTCTACTTCCATGGAGCTTCTCTGATTGGAACTTTGCCTGTTTCCTCCTCTGTCTGGTGAGCATGTGTCTCTAGAAAATCCTAGCAGGGAGTTTTACACAGGCATAAATGTGAAACTGACTGGGATTGGTTAAGGCTCTGTACAGTGTGAGGCTGTCTGTGATTGGCTCACCTTATACTAACTCTTAAAGGCATATTTTCCTTTTCTGCTTCTGCTAACACAATTAATATAAAAATGTCATATAACAATCAAAGACATAAATCACAGCAATGATTCTGCTTTTGGCTTTAACATATGCACATATATACTGTACTGAGGTTATTGGCAGGTTTGGCACACACATATATGTGAACCATATTAGCAACCTAGGACTGGTCTTAGCTGGCCAGCTACATTCGGTTCTCCACGGAACACAACTGATTGACCAGCCGCAAGGCTCTTGAACACCTTCAGGGGAATCTTTGGGGAATATCCTTCTTTCTCCAAGGCCTCTCTGGCTCTGGACCACTGTCCCTTTTTATATCCACAGGAGCAGTGGATTGGACCCAAAGATCCTTTCAGCTCTCCAGACAGGACTTGTCTGATCCTCAGGCTCTCGGCTTTCTCGGACTTCTTTATGGGGTTGAGCTACTCAGAGACCAAGTCACAGACAGGCCTTAGGTGCATTTGGTGTTCTTTGCCATCATCCGGTCCAGATGTTTAACATGATCTTCGATTGTTTAGGAGAAAATAATGATACCATTGAGGTAGATTAGCACCGTCTTAAAGTTAAAGTCTCCAAGACATCTTTCCATTAGGTGTTGAAAGGTGCTGGGGCGTTTTTACCTCAAAGTCACTGGAGCTTATCTATTCATACTATTCCTCAAGTACTCTACACCCTGAGGTGAAATTTCATCCCACCTTGTTTCAACCCACCATGTCACCATACTTCCAGGGGTATGGGGGAGTGTTAAATATATAAATGTACATATATGTAAGTATATATTTTAATTTGTGTGGGGGTTTCATTCAAGAATAGAGATTCTTAGTGAGTTCAGACCAACATGTAATACAGTTTCAGGGCTAGTGACCCACTTTTATTTAAATGAAAAGTCCAAAAGTAACTTGCAGGTTATCCACACAGGGGTTTCCATCATCAATTCAAAACACAAAAGCAAACCAGTATTAAGTCTCCTGGCTTCTTGCAATATTGCTGCTTAAGCCTCAAGCTTAGGCCTTTTGTGTTGTCCTTCATACTGTATTTCAGCACCACTGTGCTCACATGTATACTCTGCATACTCCACAGCTCCTTGCTGCACTGGTCCACACCCTGACTTCTGGGCGGGGGCCTTGTGTCTCTGGGGTAGAGCCCTGAACTACAGACAGCCCCTTGATTATAAACGCTGTGCACAACCTGGTGGTATCCTGTAAGACTTAGACACAGGGTTTGAGGCTTCATCCTTCCCAAGACTCTTTAAAGAGATTCTAAAGGTTCATTTTTTTTTTGTAAAATAACAAAAATTTTATATTTGCCTAGTGTGTGCAGTGGTTTTGCACAGAGCAGCCTGGATCCACCTCTATTCAGGTCCTCTGTCTGCTCTCCTGGCTCCTCCTGTCTGTCGGGTGCCCCCACAGCATGCAGCCTGCTATGGGGGCACCCTCTGCTCCATGTGTCCATTTACATATGGAGCTGCAGCTTGGTCCTGCCCCCCCTTTTTCCTCATTGGCTGACTGGCTGTGATTGACAGCAGCGGACTCCTGCTTGCTGTCTCAGCCAATGATGAGGCAGAGACCTGGGACAGCCAAGGCTATCATTCACATTGCTGGATTGCGATGAGGCTCAGATAAGTATTGAGGGGGCTGGGGGAGCTGCTGCACACAGAAGGTTTTTTTACTTTCATGCATAGAATGCATGAAGGTAAAAAACCTTCAGCCTTTACAACCACTTTAAAGCCTCCAGACGCTATAACCCAAACCAGGAATTACCAATCCGACAGAAAGATGAAAAACAATTTTCTCCACTCAGAACAGACATTCCTGGAACCCACCAATCTGGACCCTTAAGAACTCTGCGTGACCTTTTATTCTTCCAACAGCACTGTCACTACTATAAACTATATATATATATATATATACAGTGGGGATCGAAAGTTTGGGCAATTTGTATTAATGTGCATAAAGAAGCCAAGGAAAGATGGAAAAATCTCCAAAAGGCATCAAATTACAGATTAGACATTCTTATAATATGTCAACAAAAGTTAGATTTTATTTCCATCATTTACACTTTCAAAATAACAGAAAACAAAAAAATGGCGTCTGCAAAAGTTTGGGCACCCTGCAGAGTTAATACCTTGTACTGCCCCCTTTGGCAAGTATCACAGCTTGTAAATGCTTTTTGTAGCCAGCCAAGAGTCTTTCCATTCTTGTTTGAGGTATCTTTGCCCATTCTTCCTTACAAAAGTCTTCCAGTTCTTTGAGATTTCTGGGCTGTCTGTCACGCACTGCTCTTTTAAGGTCTATCCATAGATTTTCAATGATGTTGAGGTCAGGAGATTGTGAAGGCCATGGCAAAACCTTCAGTTTACGCCTCTTGATGTAATCCCCCGTGGATTTCGAGGTGTGTTTAGGATCATTATCCATTTGTAGAAGCCATCCTCTCTTTAACGTCACCTTTTTCACAGATGGCATCAAGTTACCATCCAAAATTTGCTGAAATTTTATTGAATCCATTTTTTCTTCTACTCGTGAGATGTTCCCTGTGCCACTGGCTGCAACACAACCCCAAAGCATGATTGATCCAACCCCATGCTTAACAGTTGGACAGAGGTTCTTTTCATTCAATTCTGTGCCCCTTCTTCTCCAAACGTACCTTTGTTCATTCCGGCCAAAAAGTTCAATTTTAACCTCATCGGTCCACAGAACTTGTTTCCAAAATGCATCAGGCTTGTCTATATGTTCATTTGCAAAGTTCAAACGATGATTTTTGTGGTGAGGATGTAGAAGAGGTTTTCTTCTGATGACTCTTCCATGAAGACCATATTTGTACAAGTATCTCTTTATAGTGGAATAGTGTACACAACTCCAGTGTCTGCTAGATCTTTCTGGAGGGATCGTGCAGTCAAACGTGGGTTTTCAATTGTTTTTCTCACAATCCTGCGAGCTGTTCTGTCTGATATTTTTCTTGTTCTTCCAGATCTTGCTTTAACTTCCACTGTTCCTTATGACTGCCATTTCTTAATTACACTCCGAACAGAGGATATTGACATCTGAAAACGCTTTGCTATCTTCTTATAGCCTTCTCCAGCTTTGTGAGCGTCAACTATTTTCAGTTTCAGTTTTCTAGACAACTGCTTAGAAGAACCCATGGTGCTGATTGTTGGGGCAAGGTCAGATGAGTCTGGGCATTTAAAACCTTTGAGATTGACATCACCTGGTCTTCCCAGACGATGATTGAGAACAATCCATGACACTGGCAGGTCTCAGCTTGGCAAAGGGGGCAGTGCATGCTATAAATTCTGCAGGGTGTCCAAACTTTTGCAGACGCCATTTTTTTGTTTTCTGTTATTTTGAAAGTGTAAATGATGGAAATAAAATCTAACTTTTGTTGACATATTATAAGAATGTCTAATCTGTAATTTGATGCCTTTTGGAGATTTTTCCATCTTTCCTTGGCTTCTTTATGCACATTAATACAAATTTTTAGCTGGGGTGCCCAAACTTTCGATCCCCACTGTATATATATATTGTGGGAACTCCCTTCTAAATGGTAGAGCTTCTTCAAAGCACACAGCAACTCGCTTCTTTTTAAGGGCCTTTTTGCCCAATTTTATTTAAAGGAAAGTGTTCAATAACCAAAATGCTTCCCACGCAGGGGTATCCACCATCACACAAATGTCAGCCTTCTGGCTCTCTCAGGTATACCGCTTTATGTCTGTTTCCTGCAGACTCCTTCCAAAAGGTTGTTTTGTGCACACAGCAAACCTCTAGCACACAGCTAGTCTGGCTTTCACCTCTCCTTGGTGAAGCCCACCTGACTCCAAGGCAGAGACCTCCCGTCTGCCGGGGTGGAGCCCTCCTGACTCCGTCTGCCGGGGTGGAGCCCTCCTGACTCCGTCTGCCGGGGTGGAGCTCAGAATCATGACCTGGTCTCCACAAAAAGGCCTACACACACCTGTGCAATCATCGCGCTGGCTGCTCTCAAAATATGGGCCCAGGATTGGAGATTTCATCCCTCCCAAATCTCTTAGAAATCTCCAGGCTACAGGTCCCAAAACAGGCTTTACAAACCAAAGAGGAAACTTATAAACCAGTTTGCTCTGCATTATGAGAACTGCCTGGAGCCCCTCAACCTGTATGGTTGAGAATCCTGGGTCTCCATCATGATTTCCACTGTGGCAGGATACCGCACTGCCACTATATATATATATATATATATATATATATATATATATATATATATGTGTGTGTGTGTGTGTAGCACTACCCCCTTAGGAGTTACTGAGTTTTGGGTCCCTCTATGGCCCTGCACAGCCATGCACCACACATTTTTTTCATACCTTGCACATGGGGACAGTAAACAGTCCTTGAGCTTGTTTTTTTTAGATTTTATTAAGGGGTAATAAACGTAGATGGGGTTGAGAGGTGCCAGGGAGGCAGAAGGGAACTCTTAACTGAAGACAAACTCCTTAGCAACTATGTACAAGTCCGTTAGACAGCAAACTATTCTTGAAGAACTCTCCAGCCTCTCCTTTTATACCACCCAAGACCCCAGATGAAATCTCCTCTTAACCCAGCTGCCTGAGGGAATCCCTGGGCAAGGGGATCCAGTGCCTGCCACTTTCAGATAAACAGTCCCCGGGTGTAGAGTTTGTCAGGTTTCTCACCCAAATGCTCCTTTCCCCAAAGATGGTCCTTGCTCTGGGGGTCATTGAGGACATTTAAAACCAGTAAAATTTTATTAGTAAAGTGTAACACTCACAAGGAAGGAAGACGTCAAGTGACGAAACGCGTTGGGTGTGGCCTAGTGGACGTGACGTCAGGACTTTCCTCCCAGCTGTCGGCTGTGAGATCGCAGTGCAGGAGGTTTGTCCCTTGGTTTTTTCCCTCATGGATATGTTATTATAGAGGCTGTCATTGCTGGTGTTGGCTAGACACCTTCCTTGTGAGTGTTATACTTTACTAATAAAATTTTACTGGTTTTAAACGTACTGCAACATCATATCTCTTCTGATTCCTCGAGCTTTGCCCATGTTATTGGAAGACCATTTGCTGCTTAGCTGTTCCATATGTGCTGCCTAGCTGTTCCATATGTACTGATTGGATCACTATTGGTTGCTGTTCCTCTACTGGGATATCCTGCAGATCATCGCTCCCAGAGCAAAATGCTATCATGCTGGTTTATAATTTAATCAGCATATAGCTCTGGTGACTGTATTCATTTCATCTGGTGTCGGATTTGCACATGGGTGTTTGTTTCAAGATTAACATTAAATTGATATCAGATTATCACTGTTTTATGGTGGCTGGACTTATGTTTATATTTATGGACTTTATTTGTTATTTCTATTATTTATCCTTGCATTTTTTGTGAATAATAAGCGCACTCTTTATTTATACGAAAGTATCAGAGAATTGATGTGCAGAGCCTCTCAGACCTGACCCAAATGTGACCCTCTGACTATCACTCAGGCTGTTACTCAGCCATCTAACTAAAACAATAATTAGCTAACTAGGAGAGTGCTACATATATACAGTGGGGCAAAAAAGTATTTAGTCAGCCACCAATTGTGCAAGTTCTCCCACTTAAAAAGACGAGAGAGGCCTGTAATTGGCATCATAGGTAGACCTCAACTATGAGAGACAAAATTAGAAAAAAAATCCAGACAATCACATTGGCTGATTTGGAAAGAATTTATTTGCAAATTATGGTGGAAAATAAGTATTTGGTCAATATCAAAAGTTCATCTCAATACTTTGTTATACATCCTTTGTTGGCAATGATAGAGGTCAAACGTTTCCTGTAAGTCTTCACAAGGTTGGCACACACTGTTGCTGGTATGTTGGCCCATTCCTCCATGCAGATCTCCTCTAGAGCAGTGATGTTTTTGGGCTGTCGCTGGGAAACACTGACTTTCAACTCCCTCCAAAGGTTTTCTATGGGGTTGAGATCTGGAGACTGGCTAGGCCACTCCAGGACCTTGAAATGCTTCTTACGAAGCCACTCCTTCGTTGCCCGGGCGGTATGTTTGGGATCATTGTCATGTTGGAAGACCCAGACACGTTTCATCTTCAATGCCCTTGCTGATGGAAGGGGGTTTGCACTCAAAATCTCACGATACATGGTCCCATTCATTCTGTCCTGTACATGGATCAGTCATCCTGGTCCCTTTGTGGAGAAACAGCCCCAAAGCATGATGTTGCCACCCCCATGCTTCACAGTAGGTATGGTGTTCTTTGGATGCAACTCAGCATTCTCTCACCTCCAAACATGACGAGTTGTGTTTCTACCAAACAGTTCTATTTTGGTTTCATCTGAATATATGACATTCTCCCAATCCTCTTCTGGATCATCCAAATGCTCTTTAGCAAACTTCAGACGGGCCCGGACATGTACTGGCTTAAGCAGGATCTGAGTCCCTGGCGGCGTAGTGTGTTACTGATGGTAGCCTTTGTTACGTTGGTCCCAGCTCTCTGCAGGTCATTCACTAGGTTCCCCCGTGTGGTCCTGGGATTTTTGCTCACCATTCTTGTGATCATTTTGACCCCATGGGGTGAGATCTTGCGTGGAGCCCCAGATCGAGGGAGATTATCAGTGGTCTTGTATGTCTTCCATTTTCTAATTATTGCTCCCACAGTTGATTTGTTCACACCAAGCTGCTTGCCTATTGCAGATTCAGTCTTCCCAGCCTGGTGCAGGTCTACAATTTTGTTTCTGGTGTCCTTTGACAGCTCTTTGGTCTTCATCATAGTGGAGTTTGGAGTGTGACTGTTTGAGGTTGTGGACAGGTGTCTTTTATACTGATAACAAGTTCAAACAGGTGCCATTGATATAGGTAATGAGTGCAGGACAGAGGAGCCTCTTAAAGAAGAAGGTAAAGGTCTGTGAGAGCCAGAAATCTTGCTTGTTTGTAGGTGACCAAATACTTATTTTTCACCATAATTTGCAATTAAATTCTTTCCAAATCAGCCAATGTGATTGTCTGGATTTTTTTTCTCATTTTGTCTCTCATAGTTGAGGTCTACCTATGATGCCAATTACAGGCCTCTCTCATACTTTTTAGTATTTCAAGAATTGATTCAAAGTGGTGATATTTCAGATGTAGTCAGTTTGGGAAGAGTATAATATGATTTTGTTTTATCCATAAATCCTCCCTGACAATATAACCTGAAGGACTTTTATCTATCTATAATGTTAAATATTTAAATTGTGTGCAGCCAATATTACCTTCTTATACATATCTGTGAAAACAGAATGTTGCTGAAACAATGCAGCGTCAACATAATCACAAGCAGCAAGATTATTGCAGACTCTGAACATATAATTATTTCCATTATGGCCTAGTAGATGACATGCAGGCATCCAGTTCAGAACATTGAGACAGCAGAAATTTTATTATGTGAAGTTGTCCCATAAGCTTGTCCAGAGCTTACTGCTGAACTGTTAGTTTAATGCCACACTGAACAATCCCCACAAGTGCCATTGTCCAAGCTCATCGAATAGGGAAAAAAAAAACACAGTGAGCGCTAGTCCTGAAAGCGGCTAAGCACTCTAAGCAACCGATATATACTTAAAATAGAATAACATAAAAATAGTGCAGCGCTATGAGTAGTGATAGTAAAAGAGATATGAGTCCACTTAAAGTCTTGGTCATAAGAACGTGTCCAGTGACAAGTAAGGATTCAAAGTTGGTGATCCGTGTGGAAACAGCTGAAAAACGCACTCACCAGAAAAAAGACACATAAACGCAGTGTGCATCTAGAGCTCATGGATCCTCAATCCAGAAGGGAATAAAGCTGGTCAGGTTACAGGAAAAATGGATCCCTCCTCTATGGATGCAGCAACAGATCCTCCTCTTCCCAGTTAGGTGTGTAGGATTCCAAGATCAGGGTTCTGCAAGCAAAAAGCTTCCAGATTCCAGATGCACAGGACAAATTTCCAGAAGCTCATAGCACTTCCGGCATCAACATTCAACATGTATGAGTCCACTTAAAGTCTTGGTCATAAGAACGTGTCCAGTGACAAGTAAGGATTCAAAGTTGGTGATCCGTGTGGAAACGGCTGAAAAACGCACTCACCAGAAAAAGACACATAAACACAGTGTGCATCTAGAGCTCATGGATCCTCAATCCAGAAGGGAATAAACAAATTTCCAGAAGCTCATAGCACTTCCGGCATCAACATTCAACATGTTGATGCCGGAAGTGCTATGAGCTTCTGGAAATTTGTCCTGTGCATCTGGAATCTGGAAGCTTTTTGCTTGCAGAACCCTGATCTTGGAATCCTACACCTAACTGGGAAGAGGAGGATCTGTTGCTGCATCCATAGAGGAGGGATCCATTTTTCCTGTAACCGGACCAGCTTTATTCCCTTCTGGATTGAGGATCCATGAGCTCTAGATGCACACTGCGTTTATGTGTCTTTTTTCTGGTGAGTGCGTTTTTCAGCCGTTTCCACACGGATCACCAACTTTGAACCCTTACTTGTCACTGGACACGTTCTTATGACCAAGACTTTAAGTGGACTCATATCTGTTTTACTATCACTACTCATAGCGCTGCACTATTTTTATGTCATTGTCCAAGCTCATTTCATCTAATTTCTTTGCTGTGGTGCAAAACTTGCTGGTAAGTAATCTCTATTGTATGTCCACCGCGAGAATTCTTTTACCATCTTGCACACAAATCTTCACTCTTTGATCCAGTCCCTAGATATAAACTCATAGAATCAAGAAATCTGTAGGCAAAGCATTTTTTTTTTTTCCTGGAGTGCTTCGGGTGTAGAGAGTGTATACATCATTCTTATTAAAATGTGCCCCCTCTGCTATATAACCTTATGGATGCCCTTAATGATTCTTCTGTACCCTGGTTATAAATCTTCACTGCCAACATGCCAGTCTTGATGTATCATACCTCTTATAGAATCCGTCTGTCAGAGCAAAGAACCTTTAATGTTTAATCATCTCCAGCAGTTCTTGCTGTGCATTGTCTTCTTTGTTATAACAAGGCAGTTTAGTTACTTTTTCACAAATTTATTTGAATTCATTGGGAAAAGAGCCTGCATGCCCAGGTTAGGTATCAGCAGGGAGTTTATGAGCCTAAGTTCCA